TATACTATTATTTTCTACACACAAAATGAAACAGTCAGCAGACTAATAATTTATTGTTAGCTATTTAGAACCATGAGCTAATTTGCACAGTTCTACGTACTGTATGATTGTGTTTACATATAATAATTAGGGCTCAAGAGTTGTGCGTATTTGAAAGGTTTATTTGTTTTGGTTTGGGATATTAGATTTGTTGCTAAGAGTAAATAAAAACTATTTTCAAAAAAATATTAAAAGTTCATAATGCTTATTTTTGGATACCTATTTAGTGATTTTGTAATTCAAAGAGTACATTACTTAATTTTAAGATATCTTAGAACATAATATTTGATGAACAATGAACAACGATAACAATTTGGCAATAAAAAAAAAAAAATAAATAACTACACTATAGGTACTCAGGTAATATAAATTTATTTTAAGAGTTTTCACTTTGTATTAAAAATTCCGAAAATCAGATTGACGAAAAAGGGGGTGAGCATACTTGGCGAATCACCCTGTATACAATTTCATCACGAACTCTATAAGTTGTTGGTTAGGGTACCTACGTAGAATAGTGATTCATGAGGTGTTTTTCAACAAACATTTTTTTTTCTTATATCCATCCAAGTAATTATTATTTAATAGGGTAGAAATATCCTCCATTGGCAGTTAAATTTTAATTGACCTATATAAAACAAACCGTATTATGATGTACCTACTATAGGCGTTATCAACTACGTGACAACATATACATTACGGCCATTACGAATAATTTATGTACCCACCCGAATTATGTAAATTGATATGAATATTTTTAATAAGGCAATTTCCAGAGGAAAATTTTACAACCTTTACTAGACACATTTTTCATTACGTTTTTTTTTTTTTTTTGTATAGTTTTATTTTAAATAATAATATCTATATGTATTCATAACACATTATTCACGGTAATACGCAGTTTTTCACTTTTTAGTAAAATCGATCGGCACCGAAGCATTTATTAGGTGTGCCTACAGAGTGATTCGCCAAACATGCTCACTCCGTTTTTTCCTTTAATAATGAATTTATTCAAACTATGATTTTTGGAATTTTTAAATAACATACTCATCAGAAGACAATAATATTTTCAAATTTTCAAATAATTGTTTGTACCTAATTGTTAAGGAGGGTCCTGTGATGCAGACAACTGTTTTTTTTTTTCAAATGAGATCCACGTTTTTTTACTGTAAATTATTTAGGATATTTTTTTTAATTTTGATGAGGTATCTTATTTAAATGCAACAAGCAGTTAGTTTCAATTGCCTATCAAAGTATCAACACTTATAAGTAGAATATATACTCTAAGGATGATTAAAGCCCTTAAAAAGAGTCGTACAATAATATAGATGTAATACATCAGATCTAATATTTATTATACTTGGATTATTTTTACAAATTGAGAATGTCGATGGATTAATATTAATCATAACATTTTTCGAATCGTCATAACCACAAATATTCCACACCCATTATTATTATTCTTATAGTATACAAAGTTTAGCTTTAGTTAATTACTTATAACTTAAAAATTACTTGTTAGAATTATGATTCAGATACCTACTTTAAAATTTCAGAAAAAATATCAGCTAAAATAGGTGGGTTGACGTTTGAAAAACTCAGGTTTGTATCTCCGCGGGACACTTGCTTGAAATTAACAAAAAATCTCAAGAATTTGAAAATATTGTCTTCACCAGCAGTATGTTATTTCAAAATTCCAAAAAACAAATTTTGAATAACTGCATCATTGAAGTAAAAAAGGGCGATGAGCATGGTTAGTGAATCGTCCTGTTCATTATATATTTTTTTCATTACTTTACAAACAATACTGTTAGCGCTTTAAAAACAAATCATAAAACAGACTATACCGAAAACGGTTTATTTTCTATTTAACATTTCAACATTAAAGATTTTCAAACTATAGTAATCGTTATAACCGTATAGTACATTTCTATTGTAATATTGTATAAAACAGAGATTCTCAAACTTAATTTCCCTCTTACCACTGATTTGTAGATTTAATAATTACTAATTACCTACTAAAAATAGAACTTTTCAAAATGTCAATTCATATTATTTTACAGTAATAATATTTAAAAATAATAATTTAGGTACATTAATTCACAGCAATATATTATTATATTTAGTAGATAGTAGTTTAGTGCCTATTTACACAAACCATAACATAATGTCTGATACAAACATAAGTAAAAAAAAACCAGTTGAACAATATTGTTCGTACCCTTTCGCGTACCACCCGGCGTAGTCTTCTGCAGTTTGAGAACCACTGGTAAAAACTTTAAATTAAAGACATTTTTAGTAGGTACCTACAAAAAAATATAGATTTTTATCGTATCGTTTAATATTATTTTCTCGAAGAAAATCACCTTGAGAAATACGAAAAAATCTCTTGAAATTATAAATTCCAAAAAAAACAAACTCTCAGCAACTGATCGTGTGTTGGAGAATAAAGGGGATGAGCATGCTCGTTGAATCGACTTGTATATAATTATACTATACAGGCTTAAAACCCGTGAGAGACGAAGTGTGTGTGTGTGTGTGTCGGTTTATTCTTGGAAATTTCCATTCGCGCACAGTTCATTCGATACAAAACCAACAAAATAATATTATATAATATTGCAGCACGCCTCGCACACAAACGTACGACTCCGAGAAAGTCAATACAATTAGGTCAGCTGGAAGTTTACACTTTTATTATATTTTATTTTATTTCGTTCGGCGTATAATATAATATAAAGTGTATAGTATTATATGTGTGTGCTAAAGTATAATATTAAATATCACTGGTCGTTTTTAGTTGACGTCATACTACGTAGGTAGAAGATATTTTACAGTATTATATTATGACGATGATATTATCGTGCACGTACTCTGTGGCTCTGTAGCCAGCTGTAGTCAATTCGCACCGAAATTCGCCCAAAATTTATTATACCACAAGACCTTGTAATTCACACAGCCATTTATGAAATGCGTTGTTTATGTAAGTTTACCTGATTTTCACCATGTCGGGTGGTAGTAGAAAATAAGAATTGGAATTTGCGCCAAAATTCAAATCGATTAGTTCTCTCGATAGTAGGTACCCAAGGGAGGACCACCATAGGGTAATTTTAAGGGGGGGCAAAATTAAACTAGATTCCAAAACCTATTTATAGCATGTATAATATATAAACCCCTACTAGGTTGGTATTTATTGAAAATTATAAGCAAAAGTCCATGGTATACAATATGAAATAAGTATATGGGTTCGATGCCTATAATTTAATAATATTCACATTTATACAATATTATTATTTTATTATTATTTACAGACATGCTATTAATCCTGATATACCTAGTGGCTGGAAATAGTTTTAATTTAAGGTAATGAAGTTATATACCTACAGTAACTTCATAGAAAACTATATTCTTAAATATCAAAATAATTTTCTAATAATATTCACTAATATATATTTTTTTTTATGTAAGACCTGTATAAAATAAACTTATACCATTTGTTTAAAATACAATTTTATACAACCGTATAATATAAACTCATATCTCTATAAATATAGCTAACCTATTTACACCGTTCTACGCGGTACCTACTACCTATACTTATGTCAGTATTGACTTTAAAATTTACCTAATAACAAGTAATATCTATATGACAATAACATACGGATATAATATTATAATAATTAATAATATAGTAAATTTATCAAAAATTCATAAAATATGTAATACTGTGTAATAATTCGATTGAGGTGGATCGGATATCAAATTGTGTAATGACTACCAGCGGATAGGGCGATGATAAGGCGGAGGGTAGTTAGAAATTGCGAAAAATTATTAAAAATCTTCATTCGAAAATGCTCGTTTAATATAATAATTTATGTACTTATACTTAGTCTTTATAGGTCCATACCTATATCTAAGTAAATTAAATAAATAGAAAAATATCAACAATATGTGGAACGATGGGTGCTTTAACTCCTATGCACCCCCCCCCCCCCCAATAAATCCACCACTAGATCTGTCGTATAGGCTATGTCTAGTATACCTACTCGTCATTGAATAGGTCACTGCCCTAATATTGGGTACAGGATGTATTAAATTTGAATTCAAATGACAAATCGCCGTATTCGATGAAAAACGATTCCTATATATAATAGCGGAGACATTTCAGATGAACAACAATAGGTAGTTGAATATTTCTGTGCATAATTATTTCGGGAATTTCGTTTTACTTATTATACTCATCCTATATAATACGCTTTACGATTAAGACGACTTCAGACATTCTAATATATAAAAAACCACGTGGCCCAGTTATTAAAAATAAAACCTACCCACTAGGCGACTGTATGAATTCTACACTACTATAGTCCCACCATATGCTTAGTGATAACAAACTTTTTCTTCGACCAAGCCCGTTTTTATATTAACTTACCGTTGGCCTTGACAATTTTTAATTAAATTTAGGGACAAAAACATTTGAGAATCACTGGCCTAATATACTGCAGGTTAAAATATCCACTGCCTCTAGTGATTCGGCACCTGCTGACTTCCCCCCTCGCCCCTAAAAAAAAGTTCGAAATCAATACTATTGAGTAGGTTACGAAAATCAATCACTTGCAATCCTATAGTATATCATAATACTATATGGGACAATAAATTATTATTATTTACAAGAGACAACAACAACACCAACAACAACAGCGAAGTGGTATATCTGCAGCAGACATCGGGCTAGGAAGGTACCTATATATATATATACGGTCGAACCAAACTTCGCCGTGAATAAAGGAGGTAATGATTATAATAGTTTTTTATTGTACCATAACTTTACTGCCATAATAATATTATAATTCTATAACACAACACCCGTATAATAATATTATACCTCGAGCATCCGTTTCTCGTTGTCGCCACGATGATAATAATTATAGTCTAAATAATAATATGATAATAATATTAATACTCACTCAACACGGCGTTTCCCGGAACCAAATCGCTGGCGAAGATTTTCATTTCTCCGAATTTCGGGGGATGCGAGCGAAAACTTTCGAGCTGCACGTACGTGCTGTTTTCCATTTCTTTGAGCTTGGCCTTCAACACGTAGCTGGCCTCGACGTTCTCTGCAACACGCGAAGTACCGACCGATGTTTGATTACCATAGTCACAAGGTAAATATTAAACATTATACAGGGTGTAACAGGACGACTTGCTGACACGAGTGAAATAATACCAAAGCTTTCGTTTCGATTATTGTATTTTAATTTTTTTTTTTAATTCATCGACTCGTTCGGTGCTACACGTTTATAATATAACATTTTTAACGATCGGCTAAAACGGCCGATTTGTAAAAAATCTGGTTTTTTGAAAACTTTTTTCCCATTATTATTAATAAACCCTCGGCAATTTAGGCCATTGGGTGGTTTTTTTTACTGCGGTGGAGGGTACTGTAAGTTTAAACACGTGTGCTTTGGTTTGGCAGATTTTTCAGCGGGCACCCGTAGGTAATTGCCATTCCCAGGTGGGGGATGGAGGCACTTCTCTTAGGGCACCGAGACTTGCCCGAAGAAAAATGCCACCCGCGGCCGGCATCGAACCGGCGGCGGTGTGCTCGGCCACTCCGTCTCCTAGAAAAATTTTACGTATACCTTTAGGTACCTATGTGATTCGTTTCTTATTAAAAATTTATTTTTTGAATTAACTATTATAACTCATTAATTTGAAAAGTAGTAATTTTTTTAACATGCCTATTACAAAGTTTTCATAAAATATTTTTAAAAAGTTAATACTTTTTGAATTTGATATGTTTTTCTACGAATAGATAAACTTCACATGACAAAAAAAAAAAACGAGATTTCAAAAAGTCTTAAAAAATAAAAATAAATTACATAAATTAAATATTTTTTTTTACAAATTGGCTACTTTTTCATAAAAAATGTACATCAGATTTAAATGTTTTAATTTTCAGTGTTAAAAAATAAAAACGAGTAATATTATTCTACGTGTGTAGCACAACTGCACAAGCTTCTTTAAATTATATAAAAACCAAAAAAAAAAAAACTAAATACCCAACATTGAAAATTAGGGGTGTCTTGCGTTTGAGCGAATTGCCTTTTTACTCTCATAATAAAAGTAGTGTGTTTTGGCGAGTTTCTTATAATGTGGTTGAGCGAGTATGACACAGTAAAAAAGACAACATTTTAAGTTTGTAAAGATTAAGATAAAAATAATATAATATAAAATCTATAGGAAATCTTATATCAATCTAAATATGACACATAATTTCAATTTTTAACTGCACACACTTATATATTTTAACTTATGCGTTAATTTTTTAATTTTCAATTATTTCAATTTTTAATCACACACACACACACACACACACAAAACAATCCACTTTTAATCATAACCATGGAATTCATGAACCAACGAATCCGTCAAAATGGATTGATAGCATCCGTGCAGGATATTAAAAAAAATATCGCCCGAACACATTACAATGTTTTAAAATCACTCTCCCAAACGTATCATATGCTAAATTGCCCAAGTGCATTTTTTAAAAATTTTCCCAAACGCGAACAACCACAGATTTGAATAAAAGTTATTTAATTCGTCAGTTGTTCATGTTACACCCTGTATATATATCATAGCAACAGTAAGGTGTGCGCGTCGGAGATAATAATAATAATAATAATAATAATACTTAATATATATATATATGTAATACGTAATATAAATACGCCGAAGTTAAAATAATAATATAATATTATAAAATATGTGCGCGAGAAAGTTTTGACAGTGTTTTACGCTGTTTGTACATCCGTGTAATGTATATATATATATTATTAGAATATTATATATCATATACGTATACACTTCCAAACTTTCTAGACTCGCCCCGAAGGTTGTGTGCCGTGGAGCGTATGTCAATACGATATTATATCATATACTTAGGTACCTATATATATATGTATTACAGGTGGCTTATCTATGCAAAGCAGTAGGAATGTACAACATTAATATTATCACAACGTTTATGACGACGGTTTACACGGTTTTATGCACGAAAATAACAATATATATATATATAGAATATTATCAGAATTTGAATTTACTGAATGTTATGTTGTATCTGCCGTTGGCGTTTATGGGCATACGTCCTAGATATCCTTTGAACTGATATTGACCGGAGCTCAATAAGTTTTTGAAGTTCGATGTGAATCCCACTTCCATTTTATTTGGGTTTTGAAGTTTTGACCTGTATAACATCATCAAGACATGTTATTATTCAAACACACGAATAATATTATAATATTCATATTAATATACGTAGGCAGATAGGTACTAGCTGTCCCACCAGGCGTTTCCCGTTGGTAAATATTCGTTGTTTTTGTTATAAATATGTACTCGTGAAAAAAATGTATGTACCATAAAATTATATCATGCACTAACTATAATTCTAAGATGACCGACGGCAACCACGAGATTTGACAAATTAAATAAATATTCTTTTTTTCATGAGATGCAAAAAAATGCACGCTTGTGAGCTACCCTTTAACTATAGGTACCTACTATGTAGGGTTTGATAAAAATATAAGCTATAACAATAACACCCTTCGAGTCTCAAGAAATCGATTGGTAAACTTTTTATTTAAAACTGTTCAGTGGTTTCTATTGACTTCGAATGAACCATCGCGGGTTGATAATAATATAGGGAAAAATATCAAAATTATAAGTTTAAATATTTTTATATCCGATCAATAGCATTATACTATGTAATCAAAGGCAACCATTTGTATAGAAAAATAAAATACAAATTTACTCTAATTCGCTAATATTGTAATATTATGCAATCATTAGCATCCATTTATACATAGTATAGTATGAAAATCCCATTGAAAAATAACCTTTTAGTTTTCCTCGAATTTCCCAATTCTCCTCGAGCAACTTTTCCAATTATTATATTTACATATTTATAGATAATTTCATATTTCCAACACTTTTACATAATTTCAAAAATACCATTCGTATATTTGTCAACTCTATACGCTTATACGGTAATTTTGTGACAATTTTGTTTTTCCAAAAGTACGGGTATTTACGAAATAATATCAGTCATATTTATGGTCAATATGGTTTAAGTTAGGTTAGTATACTATTCAGGTTACTAGGTTAGTATACAGTTATACAGTTAATCAGAAGATAAGACAGAAAAATAACACAATCTACACCTCTCTAAGTCTGTCAAACATAGCTAGACCTTGTGACACGAAATGAAAATTGTATAATTTTTTTACAATTAATTGTCCATTAGATAATATTGTCATAAAAAAATTAGCCTAGGGCTGCATGTAGTAGCAGTGTGACGTGCCTACTGTAGAATAAGTTTACAGTTATATAAAAAGCTTAAATATAACAATTTATAGATCAGCCGAATTCCATCTTTCGATGGACGTTTTCAAATGTGTTCAATTCTCAGGACAGTGTGTCATTGGGGTTAACTACATTACTATATATTATAAATTTTAATATGAGAATTCAGTGTTAAACATATATGTGTAACAGTTGTGTATACCACTCAAACTGGGAAATGTGTACCACAGTTGGTACACGACAGTAGGCTATATGGTGGTACATGTGGTACGCGGAGAGTCAAGTGGTGATAGTAAGGAAAACTAAAAATTAATATTTTTAGCATAATGCTTGTAACGAATCTAATATTATTTTTTGTTTCGTGTAAATAGTAGGTACCTATCAAAATATACTGTTAAATACTTAAATGTAACTAAATTATTATTTTTATACATTATTATAATCGTTGACAATGTTTACAATATTTTCAATTTTCACTACCTATAGTTCTATAATTGTTAGTCATTAGTGGTACATGACCGACGATCCATAACACACATGACGTACTGATACGTGAAACAAAAGTTTGAGAATCTCTGATGTATACTAAAGGGTTCAAATCAAAGTAACCCATTTTACAGGAAACAGAAACAAAGTTAGTAACCAATTTAAAATGAAAAATTAAAGAATTTTTAAAGACACACGTAATTTAAATACCTGAAACTTAAGTACAATAACATATTACATGTCATAAGTGCTTTATTCATTATAACAATCATTATTTAACCACTTTTATATGACTTGTACCCTTTTGTACATTGCACAGGGAATAGGTAACAAGTACCAATATGCCATAAAAATTATGTTAATACATCGATTGATTGGTCGTCGTCATAGTCTTAGAATTTTTAAATTAGTATAGATGAGGCGCTTTAGTGGCAATATTAATTTACAAACATCTAATTATTATCGCATCAAATATTAATATTAAATAAGGAATAATTATGAACGTTTTTTTAATATATATAATATATACCTATAGGCTATAACTACACAATTTCCTATTAAACAGGATGTAATAGAAATATCTTACAATTGAAAAAAAAAATGATACTTGTTAAAAGTATGACAAGAATTATAAAAATTAAATGGATGATAAATAATTTAAGAAATATAGTATATACTTATGTCGCAAGAACTTCAAAAAAATAATATTTTGAAAAAAAATTTAATTACTTCTCAAATTAATTTACTCTACTTTATTCTAATATATAATATATTACCTAACTGAGTTTAATAGCGTTACTAATTTTCTGTTTCTTCAAGTTAATTATTATTATAAAACACGATTATTAAACAGAATTCGTAGGAAACTAATATTAATATCTTAGCAAGTTATAATATTGTTATACAGTTTGAATACCGCAAATTAGCGAAATGCTTTTAACTTTTATGGAAGTTTGTTCGGAGTCTTAAATAATTGTATTTTTAATATTATAAGGTTACTAATATAATATAGAAAACAGTGGTTTTCATCCTTTTTTTTACACAGCACAATATGCCCTTCGAAATGTTTTCAAGTTTCAGCATGAAACAACGATTTATTCATCAAACATAATTTTTTTCTTTTAGGTCATTGTTTATTAACTTTTTTACACCAAATTAGGTAAGCAAAATTGTACTTTATTCTAATATGGTACCTATATGTATTTGAGTATGTTGATATTTATTAATTTATATTTCATTATATTTCATTATATTATATTTTTATTGATTATAATTATTCAAAAAAAATACTTTCAAAAGCTTTTGGCATACTTAGATAATGATTGAAGCCGAACAGTGTGCTGCACATCAGTTGAAAATTATAGAGATCAAAATTATATAGTGTTTATGTACCTACTTAACATTTTATTATTTAGTAGTCGCGAGTGTCTCTTTAGTATTTTATGGTAAGGCCACATCAGCTGTTCTATAAGTCAATAAATAATTTTACATTCGAATACAGAGTGTCACAGAAAGTCCTGATTAAAAATGGTAGGTACTATATACTTGAAAGTATGACAAAAATTATGATAATTGTATGGATGATAAATAGTTCAAAAAAAGAATACTTATGTCAGGAGATTCTCAAAGACAGTATTTTGAAAAAAGTCATTACGTTCAAAAATATTGATACTTTCAAAAATTGTAAGAGAATAAACTATACTTGAATTCAATAAAAGTCTTTACCGTCAAAATGTGTCCAAAAATTCGATTTAAAAATTGTTTTATTATTTTAAATTGTCTTTTTTGAATTATTCCAAACAATACAATTTAAATTTTATTTTCGGTACAAAAAAATTGTTATAACTGTACTTTTGGTGTAATAGAGTCTATAGACTATAAGAAAAAAAAATGTTTAACAAAAGTTATTTAAGTTATCAGGTATTTCTGTTGCACTTTGTGCCTATATCTAGTGTACCCAGCAATAAGACATATTTGACACTCAATTCACAAAGGTATTATATAATATTATAATATAACATTTACACTGCAAAATGAGTTCTTATTATGTTTGATGGTAAATCGTAAATGCCATATGCCCTATACCAATAGTTACCTACTTATTATTCATTTATTTTTCACTACACTAAGAAAAGGCTAAAAATATAATATAATCATATTGACAATAATGTGCTATGAATTTTAATGTACGATAATTTGTGGTTAAAATCACGCTTATAAGACTTGTTTTATAATGTTTTTGGATTCTATAAATATTACCATATTGAACTTAATCGATTTAATTAACATTTTACACATCAGTCGACTATATTATTATAATATTGTAATTGCTTAAAATTTAAGTGCCAATGTAATGTTGTCCCCATTAATACGGTCTTCGAGAATAATTATCACATTCCGTAGAATCAACCAAATTTGATAATTTTTTTTTTAACTAATAGAGTGTAATATTCTACACACTGAACTCCATTCTTCAATATTTTAATCTCAAACTTTATAATACCTATGCCTTTAAAAATAAAACAATTAAAATAAATGTAGTTCAGAAATTCATCTCCTTTCAAATAAAAAAAAATAGTTATCAAAAGCCGACAATTCCACAAGGTTGGGAATATTTTCCTGTGAAGTAATCAGATATAATACACGGCATCAATCCCCCCCTCCTTAAATAAGTATCGAGCAGTAGATTAGTGAACAATATTATTATCATAGTTAAATTAGTGATAAAACAAATGCGTCTAATCAACTTTTATTTGCATAGTCGTTACCCACTAACATATTATTATTAATCATTGTACGATAAATACAATAACTATTTGTTTATTTAATAATGTTATACACTATTATAACTATTTTCGTCGAGGACAACGAAAAAAGAGAAATTCGTAATTCGATAATGCTTTCTGAGTATAGTTTTTAATAAGAACTCATATTCACATGTCGAATACGTACAGGTTTTTCCAACCTTCGACTCGAATATTAAAAAATATATACTGCAAAAGATACGCAAAGCATAAGACGTATCCTTTACGAGAATAGTAACCAGCTACTGAAAACGTATGCATTTTACATTTTTAAATCATTATACAACTCACTATCGACCATCTTGACGATTCTCCGAATTCCAATCATTCGCCTGATGCGCACTGCAAACCACAACCCCTCTTTTTCAATCTAACTGTATATTAAATTTATTTACTCCGTTTGTATCAATTTAAGTGCTTCACTCTATTCCGCCATAATATTATATGTGTCGTGGACGCCCCGAAGGAGAACACATTTTCCAGCAATTCGGTCTTTTCAAATACGTAACCTAATAATAAAATATAAAAATTCCATCTTTGTCAATTTATTTCCACGATTAAAGCCAGAAATATTTTTAGTACTTTTTGTACTTTGGTACCGAGTACTGGCACAGGTTAGATTTGTCACTGTACGAATGGACGAAAACACTATTTTTTATTTTAATTGAAATTCGCAATACCTACAATACGCGATTGGGATTTTAATTTGATTACAGTTGGCATCATAATAATTTAGATAATCGTGACATCATGTGATGATATATTGTTATTTTTCTAATACACCTAATCTAACCTAACCTATAGCTAGGTACTGTTGTTTTTTTGGAGGGGGCTTATCTCGTATTGTTATGGAAATAAAAATAAAATACAAATTACATAATATTAACTAAAAAATATCTTACCTCAGCGATAGCAATTTAACTGTCGTCAAACCTTCAGTCATCATGTTCTTAACCGAGATTTTTCCACCAATCAATCGGGCAGTGTGTTCAAAGTGTAACGGAGTGTCCAAGTGTAATGGGTCAAATTCACGCATGCCAAATTCGTCATTTCCTGCAATCATATAGATAATAATTGTGGTATTATATGTTCAAAAAACTAATTCGTATACTATTTTACTTCTAGTAAATTATAAATAATATCAAGTGAATAAAACAATAAATAATGCTAAATTTATAATACGCTAAAAATCTGTAACGATATAAAAACATTTTTTTTTTTTCATTACATCGCGTGTTTCCGTATGTGTAAAGGAAAAATGGAAATGGAAATCTTCAGTCGACAATAACAAATAATGAACGACTGCTGTTTTAAAAAAAAAAATCGTAGTGATAAAAATTTATTGCGATTTCATCGTAGATGGATTTCCTGAGTTTATAACAATAAAATTGATTGAAACGCCGTCGAATAGGAGGGGATAGCCTGCGCAGTTGTTAAAATTCGATTTAAAATCGACCTAATGAACAGTGGCGTAGCAGAAGGGGTTTTGGGAGTTTAACCTCTCCCCCAGTGGTATTTTTCCCTGATAAGATATGTATTGTTTATACACGAAATCTGTACAAAACTTGGTTTAATTTATAAAATATAAACCCACCAATTTCATAATCCTGCAGGCCACTTCTAATGACCTATAATACCTACGATTATCGCCAGAGTTGGGATTTTACAGCATTTGCATATTTCTAATGAAATGCTTAAGAAATATCAGAGTGAATTTAAAATTAGTTTCACGGTTCTGAGAACTGAAATCGAAAATTTTACATTGTATATTTTGCATTTCGCATTTTTTAGATTTATACTTTGTGAGATATTTTCGCATTTTGACCAAATTTTTAATCGAAATTGGTCATCTCTTGTGAAATTTCATTAACAATAAACGTGTTTTATGATTATCGTCTAATTTTAAAAGTAAATATATAATATAAATTGAGTAAATAGACCGACTACGGAGACGCCGAGTTCCGACGATACGCAATCAGCGGAGTTCATAATTAATTCGTATTATTTGGTTCTAATTAAAAACTTTTGTTATATCGATTTTGACGGGCACCCTTTTTTGTCATTTACAGCTGTGCCTATTGTCTATAACGAGTGTTGAAAGCTCGTTGTGTGCTGTATTATTACAATTACAATGGCGTAATTCCATTAAATTTCAGCAGGTGCAAATTTTTTATTGATCCAATAATCATTAAGTCAAATTAAGTCATATTTAAAGCCAATCGCTTAGCTCGAGTGTTCTATATATATGTTTATAATTAATAAAATGATAAAATTTACAAATATCAAAATATGTTTATTTACAACACTGAACTATGTAATAATCAGTATTGTAAGGTACTCGAATAAGTACTCAAATACGTTATATTAAATACTTACTCAAAGTATATATTATTATGTATTTAAAATCAAACACTAAGTTTCAAACATTTTAATTATTATTATTGGTTTATATTATATTTTATATTTTATATTTAAATTTTTACAACGTAAGATATTAATTAAAACTTAGAATATGTAATTCTTTTTTTTCAGTAGCCTAATAAGACGATCGATTTTCACTATAAAGGAACTTTTATTAATATCAATAATACAATATATACTATTGGTAACAATTAGCAATACATACCTATAAAGGAAAATCGATATTTTAATAAGCTATTAATTACTTTACCTTTGTATAGTATATTATTTACTAACACACATAATATAGCTCAAGTGTATACACAAATATTCAACAGACATAATAATAAATAGATAGATTGGAAACAAGGTTATTAGATGATAACATTATATAATAATACATTTGTTTTCCTGTGAGTACTAAATAATACTCGACCAAAAATCAAATAGGTGTAGGTAGGTACCTACTTCGACAAAGAAAAATGAGTGTTTTAAAATTCCAACAGATGATACGATCTAAAATATAATATGATCTCAGATCTATACAATTAACGTAAAACAAGAAACATAGTTCATATTCGTTTATAAGGTAAACAATAATATTTTATGAATTATGAATAATTTGAATGTCTACAAATACTTTTATTAAGTGTTCGTATTTATACTCAAATACTTATCTTTCTAAGATTCAAATATTTAAGTACGGTGTTGGGAAAATATAACCGAAAAATCATCTGGATAAGATAACAGATAATTCTTCAAAATTTATCTAGATGAGATAAAATATAACATCTTTTTTTTATCTTGATAAATATAAAAATACACATAAATTTATCTAGTACAAAAAATAGACAATTTGTTTTTAATTATATTATAAATAATGTAATTTATTAGTAATTACTAATTAGATAATATTTATTAATTACTAAATCCTTATTGTCATTTCTCAACTAAAATAATATACAATTTTAATTTATACAACTTGAATAAAAATAAAACTGACAATAAAATCTAAATAGTTCCCAACACTGCTTACGTATTTCTAATTATTTTCAAAATAAGTATCTGTATTTGTACTTCAATGCTTTTAAAAATTGTCTTTTACAAGACTAATAATAATGTTATTATAACATAGTTCAATGTCTGTAAGTAAGTACATTATACAAATAAAAACACAATATTTATATGAAATAAAAAATTTCATTTTGGTAAATTTATACCATATTAATTTAGTCTATGAATGACTAAGATAGTGAAACGGCTATCGGGCTATAATCGATTGGTAAGTGATAGCAAAGTGATTACATAATTGTATTTTATTATTAATTGTTCGATTGTGTTATCGTTTATAAAAACAATTCACGGATCAAATAAATAGTATTGAATTTTAAGCGGATTATAGTTCAGCTTTTGAAGTTTAGATTAGGTAGCATATCATTGCACCTGCTACACAATACCAGAGGGCCCAAGTCAACTCGTTTATTGTGCTATACAATACTATAGTTGTAATTGATCAATACCAAATTAAATACTTCATTAATAATTGCTAAAAAAAAAACCTGTTCCGTAGTAGTACCAGTACTTACAAAAACTCTTTATTATAATGCACACAGTCTTGTAAAAATACTTTTGAAAAAGTATTAAGATACTAATACTATTATAAAAATGTATTTTACGAATACTTACAAAGTATTTGAATACAAATACAAGTATTTTTTTTTTAATTTTATGCTATATAATATATATATATATTGTAATATCAGTATTATAGGTACCTATTGCCTATTATGTTACTACTTACCATAGATTTTAACAATTACTATTAATATTATCAATACATGTTCACATATTTCATTCTGCATTTAGATATATTTCGACTAATATTGATTAAATTTCAACGAAATAAATAAAATAAAAAGTGGTATTAACTGTTAATATGGAACAATTTTAAAATTATTAGATTTTCAGTTTTCTTAAAAAATTCCAATACAGAAACCATATAAAATTTGATGTGGCATTTTTTTTAATTTTAAACATTGTTATTACCTACTTTTACTATACAATAACATACCTATAGTTTTTTTCAACGAAAAAAAAATGATGTCGATTGAAATTTAACATTACAATTAATAAAATGGACTTTATGGTATTTTAATACAATATTAAATTTTGTTAAAAATACTTCTAAAAGCATTAAAAAAATTGTATAGAATGCACCAAAAAATTGTATTCAGAATGCATATATAAATCATTCAAAATCTATTTAAAATTTTCGAATACTTTACAAGACTGAATGCTTATTATAAACAACTACATTTACAACAATTGCATGCAAAAGAGTCCTTATTAAACGCATATAATTAAATTACTAAGTGCAATACCAAATTTGGTAAGGCTCTTTTAATATTTGTCTTAGGTTATGTAAAAAAATTAGGAATTGATATTAAGAAGATGCCAGAGCACTGGTTGTTTTCTCTCTCTGATCTACGTGCAACACAGACAAAGCTCATTAAATTTAGGCAGAATCAGTTTTATAAAGTTTTTGAGGTAATCTTAGAGTAAAATCACTAAAATCTTAGAGTAAAAAATTATAGAAAATTTAACTTTGATTAAGTATATTTTCTATATATTCTAATATTTTTACTCATTTTAATTTATTTATTGTCTCATAGGTATATTTAATTTTCGATTAAAATTATTTTTTTTTAAATTAATGTCGATAAAAAAAAAAATCTTGAAAATGTAATACAAGGTTCCTCGTAAGTTGTTATTAGTGGAAATTAGAAAAAAAATTGACAGTAAACCCGTAAATATTTTTTATAAGAGTCTTAAGTTCGAATTTCGACAAAATTCACGAACATTTGCAAATTATCTTTAGATAGAAATTCATAAAAAATTTTCTTTTTATAACTAATATTTGAAACGTAATAGGTACAAAATTCCTCATAAGTTTTTCTACTGGTAACAAAATAAAAATGTCTACTAAAAAGTCAAATTTGATTTAAATGATCATTTGAAGTTCGAATCTGACTTATTATGAAACTTGATGGTAAAAACATTATTTGTGTTTGTGTGTGGTGTTTTACGATATATACTTACTACATTTGTTTTAAGCATGTACCAGGTACCTATTATACTCAATTCGGTGTCATTTATTAAAATTAAAAATGTATTTTGTCGATCAGTGCTTTGTTTTTGACTTTTGTATACAATACAAGTATTATATAACGGACATAATTGATAATAATGATTAACGACTAATGAGCAAGTTTTAATATTTCTTTTTCTCTGTAGCGCATTCGAAATTAATTTCGTCTTATTATCATAATAGTTATTATATTATTTTATGCAAAGAACCTATACGTAAAACAGTTTTTGGATAATTTGTCGAACAAAGCTGTTTGAATACCCTTAAAATACTTTATTGTTTTAACAACGAAGGAGTTACCTACCTATAGTGAAATTTCCGAAAGGATTTTATTATTCCAGGAAAGCATATTATATACGTCATAACGGGTACTTAAATAAAATAACAACTGAGGAAGAAGAGTTTTAAAATTAATTTCGCCAGTTTTAATATAATATACCGTTTTTCCCCTAAAATAGGGTAAGTTCAACTTACAACTTAGTTCATATATTACTCATTACCTATACGTATTTTTG